TTGACTGGTGAAAGAGACGATATACGTATTGGGGTCGAGTTATCTCCCTTCAGCCAACAAAGTTTGTTCGAAATCACAGCGTTCCACTGTGTTTACAGGGGAAACTCGACGGTTATGCAGTCGTTTTTACTCAATGGCGACACAACACACAACCTGTAAAATGGATATTTTTACCAGCATGACCATTAACTTAGGTAAAGATTGAGAACAGAATGGTTATAATGTTCAACAAATATATGTGTGTCAGCGTATCAGATTTCGAGAAATGTCAGATTTTTCAATTTCTTTGAGACGCCCACAGAAATCGGGAAACTCGAAAAGAAGAATCGTTCAGATAGTCAAATTATTTATACGAAATGAATTCCGGGCTAAAACTTTTGCACAAGTCAACACAACTATAATTCCAACGGCCAGCAAACAACAGTAGTCGAAGACGAATGGTATGACGTCGACAACGGTGAGTTAACAAGACATGTGCATCATGATGGTAATTTAACAATGACGCTTCTATAGGCTCTAGTTAAATGTAGTTCAAGGGGATCTGTTTTTCTTCCTGTCCACTCATGAGTTCTTGTGTGTAAAAAACATCTTTTGTCATGTATGCAAATTGGATATAAGCACCATTTCCCCAATGAAATCGGTCTCAAATGTAACCGTTATAGGATACGTGGCCAAACATCATTACAGGCTTGTAAGGATTCTGCACGTTCAACTACCGTTACAGAGGGACGGGACCAGTGCAGGTAGGTATTTCCAATCTTTCGACGCACACTATTACATTGGCACCTGGTGCAGCGTTGTGAGTACTACAGCCTGTTGGTATTGTGAGACTTGAGCCACAGGTTGATACTAGTTCATGTTCGTCAACTTTATCTAAGGTTGATATTATCATGGGAAATCTCAATGATAAGGAGTATAAACAGGGCATCGATCTTATTGAGTATTTCGACGACATGGCGACACAGATATCGGACACTCGACTACAGTACAGCATTACATAGATATGGCAGATCCAGAACCTTTTAAGCAGAGACATCGTCGAATACCACCTGGGCTTTACGATGAAGTCAGAGCTCATCTACAGACACTTTTGAACAGTATAATACGGAGAGTTCACAAACCATGACCATCCGCTGTGGTTTTGGCCCGGAAGAAAGATAACTCTTTGAGAATATGCATCGACTATAGTGAGTTGAACAAGCAGTCCATACGCGCTCATAAAGTGGAGGAGATCCTTGATTGCTTGGCAGGGTCAAGCTACTTCTTAGGCATCGATATGAAAAGTGGGTATCACTAAGTAGAGGTCGCTGAACACCACAAGGAGAGGACAGCATTCATCGTAGGCCCATTAGGGTTTTTCGAGTTTAATCGCCTTCCATTTGGACTCCAGAACAGCTCAGCCACCTACCAGAGATTAATGGAGGATATTTTGAGCGATTATAATTTAAATATCTGTCTTATTGTCTACTTTCCCCCCAAAACACACCAGGAACATCTAGTAGAATAGAGAAGGTTTTCTAGGGGATTCGGGAGAGTGGATTGAAGCTGTCACCCAAGAAATGCAAATGTTTCAAAGAGGAAGTTATGTATGTGGGATGTGTTTCGGCAGCTGGTATAGGGGATGATCCAGACAAAACAGAAGTGATACGTAATTGGCCTACCCCGACGACCCCAGAAGATGTTATCGTTTTCTAGGATTTGCTGGTTATTATAGGAAGTTCGTACAGAATTTCTCAAAAATTGCCAAGCCACTCTGAGTTAATGCCAGTGCCCCAGAAGGTAACAAAAAGGTCCAAGAGGAACCAGAACTGCGTACTGAAGTCCTGGGAGTTTGGGGGAAAACAAGAATCTGCGTTTCAGACATTGAAACGGCAATTGACATCAACTCCCATATTGGGATATGCTGACTACAGTTTACCCTTTGATTTACACACAGATGCGTCAAAGGATGAGAGAAAAAGGTGATAGCGTATGCCAGTAGGGGCCTTAACAAGGCTGAGAGGAACTATCCGGCACATCGACTGGATTATTAAGCTTTGAAATGAGCTATTTCAGAGAAATTTAGAGAATATCTCTATGAAGCTCAGCATTTCACTGTTCTGACAGACAACAACCCTTTAACGTATGTCCTCACATCGGCCAAATTGAATGCCACAGGGCATCGTTGGTTAGCAGCCTACCATTTTGACATTAAGAACAGCCCGTGGATCAACAACATCGCCGCCGATACTCTGTCTCGCTCTCCGTTGATGGAACCCCGACCAAATCTGGAACATGTTGCGGAGGATACCATCAAAGCCTTGTGTGGGGCAATCACCACTGAACCGATGGTGAAATCCTGCAGCCTCTCCAGTAATGTTGCCAGTGTTCTAGCTGATGCAGACAGGCATGACATATTGGAGTTTGACTTCGGAGATTGGCGAAAGCGGCAGGAACAGGATTTAATTTTGGCCCCTTGGATGTCCGTTATAAGGATTGGAGTTAAACCGAAGTGGAAGGATATTCCGCATACACAAGACAACGCAGCTTTATATAAGATCTTTGCCAACCTTGAGTTACATCGAGGAGTGTTGCACCGGGTAACGACTGTGGAGGGAAAACAGCGAAGACAATTAGTCCCTCCCAGTGAATACCGACAGCAGGTACTCCAGGAGCTCCACACGGACGTTGTACATCCTGGAAGAGATCTGACCATCAGCCTAATCAGGGATAGGTTCTACTGGCCGAACATGCTTACCCACATAGAAGAACGTGTTAAGGGTTGCCCAAGATGTTTACGGAGAGAAACACCAGTGAACAGAGCTCCCATGGTCAGCATAACATCACGACAACCTGTGGAACTGGTATGTATGGACTACTTGACATTGGAGACATCAGTTGGAGGGTACCAACACATCTGAGTTATCACAGATCATTTCTCCCGATATGCCCAGGCATTTCCCACAAAGAACCAAACAGCGAAAACAACGGCTGCTGTTCTCTTCAGAAATTTCATGGTCCACTACGGATTTCCAAGGAGACTTCATTATGACCAGGGCTCGAATTTCATTGGCAATGTCATATCAGAGTTATGTGGGATAGCAGGGATAGAAAAATCCAGAACGTCACCATATCATGCAATGGGCAACGGTATGACAGAGAGTTTTAACAGGAAGTTATTTGATATGTTAGGCACCCTGAAGACTGACAAGAGAAAGGACTGAAAGACGTATGTGGCACCTCTGGTCCATGCATACAATTGCACAAAACATGAGAGTACCAGATATACACCATACTTCCTCAAGTTTGGGAGGGACTCGAGGTTGCCCATAGATGTGGTTTTTGACCCAGAGAGAGATGAAGCTAATGTCATTGTTCCCATGACTCAATATGCGAAGGACCTTAAGGAAAGGCTTAATCTGTCTTATGAGGCAGCTGCAGCAGCTTCGCGTAAGACACAAAGTCGTCAAAGGGATTCCTATGACCTTAAAACTAGAGGAGCATCCGTTGAGGAAGCGGATCGAGTACTTGTACGCAAACTAGCATTTGATGGGAAACACAAGATTTCCGACGGGTGGGAGGATGGGAGTTGCCACGTCGTCTCGCAGCCGAACATGGATATACCCGTGTTTGTGGTAGAAACTGAAGCTGATGGTCGTCGGAGGACACTACATCGGAATAATCTGCTTCCCATAGGCTATCTCCTGATACACACACCTAAGGAGAGACCCAAACCCAAACCGAGACCCAGACCAAGAACAAGACAGTCATCTGAGACAGTAGAGGAGACTGCCACAGAAGTTGATGACTATGTTTCTGATTATACAGATGAGGATGAGGAATATAGCAGAGTGAAAATAATCTCTCCCGTTCAGGAACCTCTCTCGGTGGAGAGGTCTTCAGGAGCAAGGGAGGAGAGAGTACATGAACCGGTACGGGAACATCAACCCTCCCAACAGATTTGTGGTGACGTCCCTGAAGATGTTGTCGAGGAGGAGGAAACTGTGTTAGCTGATGACGGTCAGGCCAGTAATAGGGAAACTAACCTGTGATAGGGAAACTAACCTAGATTCCTCGGAAATATTAGACACTCCAAGTGTTGCTGCAAGGCCAAGAAGGAATCGCCAGCCCCAGCATGTATAATATCAAATGAGTATGCCATGGCCCAGCAAATCGTTGAGCTAGAATGGAAGCAGAAGGCAGCATTTTTGGAGAGGTTGTATTGGTAGAGTGATTAGTACAAGAACATTGGATATACTCACCAATTGTCTATTAGATGTTCTATCGATCAACCCTGGATGAACGTATCACATATGTAATCACTAATGTTATTGTTTTCTATTACAGTATCCAGTTGAATACCGGGACGTCATTCATACTTGAGGGGGTGTATGTGGCAGGGATAGCCTGTCCAAGTATCATGGATAGTGTTAATTAAATTTTAATGTTTTAAGAAAGGTGGATGAGTGAAATATTATTAGTGGAGTTTAAAATGTAATTGCTTGGTTAGGTGTACATGTATTGTGTGTGTAGTATCTAGTCTTGTTCAGTGTCATTGTCATGCGCCAGTTGTTCAGTGCCATGTGCTTTTGTTTATGTTTTGTTCTGTGACCTGTGACCTGTTTGTGACCTGTAACCCAATACTTACATGTGTGACCTTCCTTACCTGTACATGCTATTCACCTGAGTGAAAAAATCAGTTCAGGCAGACATGTTAGAGGGATCATATAGAAAAGGGTTTAAATTCATCCACCATGTCTGATGTCCAGAATGATCTAGTAAACGAATGAAACCAGAAACGTGTTTATTGTCACACATCTGCCCAAATCCCATTCCTGTTTCACATGCAAGCGACCTTCTTTGTGACAAAGAGAACAATGACACATAGTTTCGTCAGAAATGACGCCGTGGTTCTAACATACATTGATACCCTAGCTTCAATACGTGTAAAAGGTCGGGTTAACAAATACATTCCCAACTTCCGGTTTCATATCATACAACTTCCGGTTTCACTTCATCGAAGCAATGCAACTTTATTAATGCGGAATAAGAAGCACCTATTGGGGAAGTATTCGAGTCAGTTTTCTTGATATATTGCTGTTACAAGTTCGGACGTGCATCACTACCACATGTGTAGGGAGGTGGGATTATATAAAAGATCCTGTTTCAAGAAGACATGACGCTGTGAAGTGCAGTAACAGTCAGTGAGTATATAGCCACGGACTTAGATAGCAATCTTATCTAATTCCGTGGTATAGCTATTGGTCATTTCTAGTACATTCATATGTCAAGTGTGTCAACATATAAATCTGTAAAATGGGGGGGATAACGTTATAGCATAATAAAACCCCATTGGATGTACAGGTATAGACAGTCACCTCAGATCACAGATAAACGTGTAAATCTGAGCAAAGGTGTTTGAAATTCTGACTGTAAATTGAGATAAAAATCAATACAAATAATAAGGGTATTACTATAGTATAATACTCTTTTTTATTTGATTTTTATCTCAATTTACAGCCAGAATTTCAAACACCTTTGCTCAGATTTACACGTTTATCTGATTATAGGTAGGTAATGATACATGCAATACAATAAAGCGGGGTAAGTGAACCATGGTAAAACATAGGCTCTAACGAGCTGTTGATCCAGCTATACATGTATTACTATAGACGACACTAATTATATAGCCAGGTAGTGATACATGTATGTGTATAGACAGGTAGTGATACATGTATGTGTATAGACAGGTAGTGATACATGTATGTGTATAGACAGGTAGTGATACATGTATCACTATAGATAGGTTATGATACATGTATCACTATAGATAGGTTATGATACATGTATGTGTATAAACACGTAGTGATACATGTATGTGTATAGCCAGGTAGTGATACATGTATCCCTATAGACAGGTAGTGATACATGTATGTGTATAGACAGGTTATGATACATGTATGTGAATAGACAGGTAGTGATACATGTATCACAATAGATAGGTTATGATACATGTATGTGTATAGACAGGGTATGATACATGTATCACTATAGATAGGTTATGATACATGTATCACTATAGATAGGTTATGATACATGTATGTGTATAAACACGTAGTGATACATGTATGTGTATAGCTAGGTAGTGATACATGTATCACTATAGACAGGTAATGATACTTGTATAACTATAGACAGGTAATGATATTTGTATCACTATAGACAGGTAATGATACATGTATCCCTATAGACAGGTAATGATACAGGTATTACTATGAACAGGTAATAATACTGTATCACTATAGACAGGTAATGATACAGATACATGTATGTGTATAGACAGGTAGTGATACGTGTATCACAATAGACAGGTTATGATACATGTATCACTATAGACAGGTAGTGATACATGTATGTGTATAGCCAGGTAGTGATACATGTATGGGTATAGACAGGTAGTGATACATGTATGTGTATACACAGGTTAGTGATACATGTATCCCTATAGACAGGTAGTGATACATGGATGTGTATAGACAGGTAGTGATACATGTATCAAAATAGACAGGTTATGATACATGTATGTGTATAGACAGGTTATGATACATGTATCACTATAGACAGGTAGTGATACATGTATGTGTATAGACAGGCTATGATACATGTATGTGTATAGACAGGTAGTGATATATGTATGTGGATAGACAGGTAGTGATGCATGTATGTGTATAGACAGGTTAGTGATACATGTATCCCTATAGACAGGGAGTGATACATGTATGTGTATAGACAGGTAGTGATACAAGTATCACAATAGACAGGGTATGATACATGTATCACTATAGATAGGTTATGATACATGTATGTGTATAAACACGTAGTGATACATGTATGTGTATAGCCACGTAGTGATACATGTATCACTATAGACAGGTAGTGATACATGTATGTGTATAGCCGGGTAATGATACATGTATCACAATAGATAGGTTATGATACGTGTATGTGTATAGACAGGTTATGATACATGTATGTGTATAGACAGGTAGTGGTACATGTATGTGTATAGACAGGTAGTGATACATGGATCACAATAGACAGGTTATGATACATGTATCACTATAGACAGGTAGTGATACATGTATGTGTATAGACAGGTTATGATACATGTATGTGAATAGACAGGTAGTGATACATGTATGTGTATAGCCAGGTAGTGATACATGTATGGGTATAGACAGGTAGTGATACATGTATGTGTATAGACAGGTAGTGATGCATGTATGTGTATAGACAGGTTAGTGATACATGTATGTGTATAGCCAGGTAATGATACATGTATGTGTATAGACAGGTAGTGATACATGTATCACAATAGACAGGTTATGATACATGTATCACTATAGATAGGTTATGATACATGTATGTGTATAAACACGTAGTGATACATGTATGTGTATAGACAGGTAGTGATACATGTATGAGTATAGACAGGTAGTGATACATGTATGTGTATAGACAGCTAGTGATACATGTATCACAATAGACAGGTTATGATACATGTATGTGTATAGACAGGTAGTGATACATGTATCACAATAGATAGGTTATGATACATGTATGTGTATAGACAGGTAGTGATACATGCATGTGTATAGACAGGTAGTGATACATGTATGTGTATAGACAGGTAGTGATACATGTATCACTATAGACAGGTAATGATACTTGTATAACTATAGACAGGTAATGATATTTGTATCACTATAGACAGGTAATGATACATGTATCCCTATAGACAGGTAATGATACAGGTATTACTATGAACAGGTAATAATACTGTATCACTATAGACAGGTAATGATACAGGTATTACTGTAGGGCCATCATTGAAAATTTGTATTTTTTGGCCGTTTGGCTACTCATAATTTTTTCAGGTATGTAGTTTTTTTCCCTTTTTGGGAAATATCATATTTCTATTTAAAATTCTCATATTTAGAATCTTTCTGTAAAGTATCGTTTTTATTAAAAGTTCCAAAAAGATTTGGATGGGTGCCATTTTAGTGAATCAGTCACGAAACTGCAAACAAACGTTTTTTAATGATGTCCTAGACATGTAAACCAATCACTAGAGACAAGGTCACTACCATAGTTCAACAGTTTTAGTTTGAGGAAGTATTTGACTTATAAATCAATTAAGATAACATGTTTCCTGTAATAATGTAAGCTGTAATATAATTTTATGTTAATCAAGTTTGACTGTTTTCCTGCTAAATATTACTAAACGTAACATGTCAATGTTTGCTACCCTCTAACTGTTGACTGATCACGTGGTAAGGCAAAAAAAATGTGTGCTTCAGATAACTCAACCTAACCTAGATATCACTGTGGACCCTAGATATTGTATCATCTACACTTGTACTCCTATTGAAGATTGATTTATTAGCCAGGCAATGTTGACAGCCACTCATTAAAATGTACTTTCTTCCTGTTCTAGGAGTCTGACCTTATTCTTGACAATTTAATAGCTATTGTAATGTGTGGAAACGCATTGTAAAATTTGAAATAAAGCAAAATGATAATTAACAAAACAGAAAAACAAAAAAAAACATTAAAACAAGAGGCCCAGATGGCCTGTATCGCTCACCTATATATCTAAGCAATCATGGCAAAATATTCTCCAAATAAGATCCAAGGGAATGGGCCAGACCCCAAGGCCAATCCTTGTAGCATATCTGTATTAGAATATTCAAGCCCAGCAACTTTGTGTATGGTTATGGGGTGGGGATCTCAACTGTTTCCAAGCTGTGACTCAGAAACTAGGTCCTTAGGGTTGTGGCCAGACCCCAGAATCAATTCCAATATCATGACTGCATTCATATAGGTTTTGGGTGGGGATCTCAACCATTTCAAAGTTAAGACCCAGGTACTAAGGCTGCAAGGGTGGGGTACACCCCGGGGTTAATTATAATATCATGACTGCATTCATCTCTCTATAATCAGCAAATCTATATATGGTTATAGGGTGTGGATCTCAATTATTTCCAAGCTGTGACTCAGAAACTAGGTCCCTAGGGTTTTCGCCAGACCCCATGGCCATCCTGATAGCTATTTGCATTCTTCTCTTTATACTCAGCAATTGTGTATATGGTTATAGGGTGAGGATCTCAATCATTTAAAAGTAATTAACCATGTTTAGCCCCACCCCTTAGCCCGGGGAGTCAGCCCCAACATTTGTACAATTTCGAATACCCGCCTCACATGAATGCTTCCGACCAATTATGACAGACCGATATAAAAAAAAGTCGATAAAACGTCAGAATAATTCGGACTAGGCGGGGCCCAATAGGGGAAATAGAGGTTTAACCTTTCAAATCCTTCTTCTATCTTAGGGATTAAGGGATTTTATCCTAATCTAGTCTGGAGCATCCTTGGGCCAAGGGGACTCAATTTTGCATTAATGGTGGGTCTGGCCCCCCTGGGGGATGAGGGGCGGGCCAATAGGGGAAAAATAGCAAATTCTTTAAAATTCTTTAAAATTCTTTTTCTTATGTAGGAATGAAAGGATTTTTTTTTCCATATTTGGTCTGAAGCATTTTTGGGTAAAGGGGAACCAATTTGGGGCTCTGTTTGAAGTTTGTTCTTGCTATATCTCAAGTATAGATGGATCTTTCTGAATGTTTATATGTATTTACAGCACCTACGATGGAGTGCTATATTTTTATTTCATACCAATTATTTTAAACATATTCAGGAGAGCGATACAGGCCCTCTAGGCCTCTTGTTATTTACAAGCTGCATTGTGATCGTAATTACATTTTTTATTCTAAATTGTGATATCTTATAATAACATGCCTATTTTACCTGAATAAATAGTATTATTATCACTTGTGATGCCTTGTTTCTTTTGAGTAATACTGATATTATATATTAATTTTATGTTTCAGTTTCAGTGTTTTTCATAAAATGGAAGAATAGAATTGTTGAAGCAAAATGCATTATTTATGTTTTAGAAAAAAAATCCCATAATTTTATCCTTGGTCTCCTTGTAATAACTTCAGGTATAATATGTAACATTTAACATTTCCATAACTATTGACATTTTGAATTTAATGATCTTCAGAAAAAAATTAAATACAGTTCAGGAAAAAATGTACTACATGTAGAAAATTTGAGTTAACCCTTTCATCACTGTAGACCATAATGGACTCATCCAGATAAATATATCGTGAAGTCTACTAAAGTTTCCTAGGGTGAAAGGGTTAAGGGCTCATTAAGTTAACAGTGAAACAAACAAGATGGCCCAGTAGTAAAATCTTTCAACAAGACTCTTAATTAAGATTTCAATTATTTAAATCATGCAACTGTTTCGATTTTAAGGTAAATCAACAATGTTTCGTGCCACTGCTGAAAAGTTTACGAAAAGTGTAGCCTCAAATGGCGACACCTTCATACCAGTGATGTCTATCGCAAGCGCCAAGGATCTCAAACTCCTCCAGATTGTAGTCAAAGAGATTAAAAGACACTGCATTTTCTTTAAAAAAGTGAAATACAAACCCTACAATTATGAGGTAATACTGATATTTGTGCTGTATCTGTTTAAAGGGTTTAATAACTGCCTAGCTTGTGTTAGAGTGACTTTTGGAAATTCTTAAATCAGCATAAAATCATATATAGAATAACACAGGCTTTATCTTTTGATGTGTTATATATGTACAATTATATAGTGAACCTTTCAGTGTGTCATCAGTTCTTGTGTACATTTCATATTTAACTTTTGTCATCAGTTCTTGTGTACCTTTCAAAAGGGTCATCGGTTCTTGTGTATATTTCATATTTAAACTTGTGTACCTTTCAAATAGGTCATCAGTTCTTGTGTACATTTCATATTTAAACTTGTGTACCTTTCAAATATTGTGTTATGCATTCTTGTGTACCCTTCGTTCAGCTTTTTATCCACAATTTAATTAGCTACTTCAATGGTCATTTTATAGCATGTTGTGGGAAATTTTTCTATTAAATGGCTGTTGTTGGGTTTTTTAGGTTACCTGAACATAGGTCATGGTAACCTTTTGTGATAGCCTTTTGTCCGTCGTCGTCCGTCGTCCGTCGTGCGTCGTGCGTTAACTTTTCCTTGTGAACACGATAACTTCAGTAAATGTTAACCGAGTTTGATGAAACTTTGTATGCAGCCATATATCAATAAGATCTCGGAAGAGTTCGAAAATTAGAATTATTGGACAGTATCTTACAGAGTAATTGCCCTTTGTAATATTATTATTATTTGACCTTGTGAACACGATAACCTGAGTAAGTGTTAACCGAGTTTAATGAAACTTTGTATGCAGCCATATGTCAATAAGACCTCGGACGAGTTGAAAATGGAAATTATTCGACGGAAATTTCCAGAGTTATTGCCCTTTGTAATAATATTATTATTGGACCTTGTGAACACGAGAACTTGAGTAATTATCAACCAAGTTTGATGAAACTTTGTCTGCGGCCTTATATCAATAAGATGTCGGAGGAGTTGGAAAATGGGAATTATGCGACGCTAACTTACAGAGTTATTGCCCTTTATAATAATATTATTATTGGACCTTGTGAACACGAGAACTTGAGTCAAAATTGGAGTCACACCCATTTATTTCAGTTATCGTGTTCACAGGGTCCGACAATAATAGAATTACCAAGGGGTATAACTATGTAAGTTATGGTCAAACTCATCCAAGATCTCATTGATACAAAGCTGCATACATAGTTTCATCAAAATCGGTTCATATTTACTGAAGTTATTGTGTTCACAAGGAAATATTAATGAACGATGCAGCAAGGTCACTCGGACCGACGAAAAGTATGAATTGGCCCCTGGATGACAGTTCTAATTTGAATCGGATGTCAGGTGACCGTTACGGCCCATGGGCCTCTTGTTTTAAATCATTCACCCCTGATATTTCATAATGAACTGTTCCAGTTCAAATGTGCCTTCAGGGGCGAATGAGTTAATATTTATTGCAATGTTTGACTTGTTTTTCCAACAGCTGAGTGATGTTTAATTTCCATTGTAAGTAATTCAATTTGGGTTAGCATTATTAGTATTATTATGGTTTATATTGGCAAATGATAGTTTGGATATTACATGTTGATATTAATGCCCACATGTTTAATTTTGATAATTTAATTGGAATTATAACCCTGAGTTGACAGTTTGATATTTTGAAAATTTTGAGTCAGCCCTACCCCCAAGGGTTGTAGGGCGGGGCCCAAAGGAGTCAGTGTGCTAAATTTTCATCATTTTCCTTGTTTAGAATCAGAGGTGCTAGTTTCAAATACTTTCCAGTCTTAAATCTGTATGGTAGATATTGAATAAGGTGGTTTTATTGTTTTTTGTCACTTTGAATGATATTTCTGTTAATGTTTTAAAAACAAAAACCAACTCTCTGTATAAATATATCAGAACTCAGGTGACCGTTAAGGCCCATGGGCCTCTTGTTTTTTAAATCATTCACCCCTGAAATTTCATAATGAACTGTTCCAACTGTTGAATTGGAAGAGTTTAAATGTGCCTTCAGGGGTTAATAAGTTAATATTTATTGCAATGTTTGACTTGTTTTTCCAACAGCTGAGTGATGTACTGTTAAATTCACATGTACCAATGCGTGTTGACGAGGATACCCAAGAGGGCTTCTGTAAGTGGCACAGGACTATAGAACTATCCCTAAGTGGAAAATTTGGAGTCGCTATTCTGGAAGAATTGGCAGATGTGACGTTATCATCATCGGACACTGTCAATATTGAGGCTAATTTAGGTCAACTCAACCTTGTTGAACTGGACTCCGCTAGTCTGGAACAGGAACTTATTAAAAGGTGGGTTAAAACTAGCTTTGATTTTAATCCACTGTTTGTTTTATGCGTTATCATTTTCATATGTATATGGATTGAATTTGAGACAAGCCACTTTAACTCACAAACAGTATGTAAGTAGTTATTAATCACTGAACATAAAATAGACAAGATAATCACTACACTACAGCCTTTGTATAAAAACATTAATTTTTACATAATTTATTGTGGATTGGAGTGGCATATACGTTATCTGACTGGAGTGGCATTTGTCATCAGATTGGAGTGGCACACATGTATATCATTAGGTGGAAGCGGCATGTGTCATCAGATTGGAGTGGCATACATGTATATTATTAGGTGGAAGTGGCATGTGTTATTAGATCGTAGTGGTGAACTTTTTCTTATTTGAGTGGAATATGCTATCACATAGGAGTGGTATATGTTATAAGGCTCGACTTGCCTACATGTATGGTATAAGACTTGAGTAGCATATATGTATGAGTGGCCTACGCTATCACATTGGAGTGTCACATATTATCAGATTTGAATGGCATACATGTATGGTATCAGACTGGAGTAGCATGCATTTATGTTTTTATGCTGGAGTGGCATACATGTATGTAATAATTTGCTGGAGTGGCACACATTTTCTCATTTGAGTGGCCTACGCAATCACATTGGAGTGGCACATGTTATCAGATTTTACACTGCGGTGTCATAAATGTACCTTATCAGATTGGAGTGGCATCGTTATCAGATTGATGTGGTATATATTATTAGAGTGGCATTGTTATCAGATTGATGTGGTTTATATCATTAGAGTGGCATTGTTATCAGATTGATGTGGTATATATTATTAGAGTGGCATTGTTATCAGATTGAGGTGGTATATATTATTAGAGTGGCATTGTTATCAGATTGATGTGGTATATATTATTAGAGTGGCATTGTTATCAAATCGATGTGGTATATATTATTAGAGTGGCATTGTTATCAGATTGATGTGGTATATATTATTATAGTGGCATTGTTATCAGTATAGAATGCCAGTTTTAAAAATATCAATTAATCTAGATCAGGACTAAACCTTATAAGATGAAATATTATTAAAAAAAAATGTCTTTTAACAGGAGGATTGATTTGAGCCATGTCCTGATAAAGCAAATCCGTTTCCAGAGAAAGAGAGTGTTATGTGTGGTCCAGAGTATCGTCAAACTGGCTCAAGATGCCGAGGTCAAGAGAACAGATAAAATAGATATCGGCGGCGGGATAAACACCAGAGTGCCGGTATGCTGTATACAGGTTGATTTTCAAACCATAATCTTTTAAAAGTAATAGTTACCTAAATATGTCACATATGCGACCATAATGTAGTCTCTGCTATCCTCCTCCTTGCCGGACAGCTGTGATGTAGTTTCTGTTGTTACCATAGTAACCTTGTAGCAGTGGTGTGATATACCATACTGTTACCATAGTTACAGGACAGAAGTATTATACCTTGCTATTGCTGTATAAATAGCATAGCAGTATTATATTACATGCCCTAGCATGTTTACATATTACAGCCGTGATAAGATATGTTGTTACCAAGGTTACATTACAAAGGTGATATAGTATGGTGTTCATGGTTACGTTACAGCTGATATATATTTTGTGGTTACCAAGGTTACTTCAGAGCAGTGAATTGTTATCTGTAGAAATAGTTAGCAGTGATACTGTATATTGTTACTGGGTGATATGGCAGAAGTGATGTATTGCATTGTTACTTTGATAACATTGCATACATGTACATAGTAATAATATAGTCTATTGTTCCCAGGGTAACAATAATACGGATTATTGTCACCATGGATACATCACAGCAGTATCTTGGTTACGAAGCAGCAGTGATACATATTGGTTTATTGATACCTTGGTAGCATTAGAGTAATAATGAAGATTATTGTAACCATGGTTACATCATAGCCGTAATATGGTTAATCGTAACCTTGGTAACATGGTTACAATAATATAGTTTATTGTTGCCTTGGTTACATCACAGCAGTAACATTGTTTATTGTAACCTTGGTTAAGTTATAGCAGTAATATTGTTTATTGTAACCTTGGTTTAGTTGTAGTTGTAATATTGTTTATTGTAACCTTGGTAAAGTTGATGCAGTAATATTGTTTATTGTAACCTTGGCTAAGTTGTAGCAGTAATATTGTTTATTGTTGCCTTGGTTACTTGTAGCAATAATATTGTTCATTGTAACCTTGGTTAAGTTATAGCAGTAATATTGTTTATTGTAACCTTGGTTTAGTTGTAGTTGTAATATTGTTTATTGTAACCTTGGTAAAGTTGATGCAGTAATATTGTTTATTGTAACCTTGGCTAAGTTGTAGCAGTAATATTGTTTATTGTAACCTTGGCTAAGTTGTAGTACTAATATTGTTTATTATTCCCATGGTTACTTGGTAACAATGATGTAGTACATTGTTACCACGATCACTTGCTAACTGTTATATAGTAAATCGTTTGCCCCACTATATACAGAGTTATGGCCCTTTGTTTATTTCTAATACCGAAGTTTGTCCACGGCATAACGTCCATGTTATTTCACCTACGTTGATCAAACTTGCTATAGTTTCAATGTACCTTGAGAAGTAGGAGTGTCGCATTCTTAATTCGGGTCTCGTGACCCACTATATAAAAAGATATGGCCGTTTGTTATTTTTTTAAATCGAAGTTTGTCTATTGGCTAATAAGGGGAGACATATGTTTTTGTTCACAAAAAACACAATTTTGGTTGTTACCGTGGTTACAGGATGGCATTGTGAGCAGCGTGAATGTCCATGGGTCTTTAAGAGACAACACAGTACGTGATATAGGTCTCCTGAAAGGCCAGCCAATAGCATACAAGGTATGGGAGCTCCAAGTGGATAAATACGGAGGAGGGATTGTACCTTGTATCACGGAGGATATTCCTGGTGGATTTATGAACAAGGAAGACATTATAGGCCGTCCCCCTATACCAGCAAGTACCATTGATGTAAGCAATACTGGTAAGTCATCTGAATTTTGTCATTTGGTTATTTGAGAATTAGGAGGTTTAACCCTTTCACCACTGTAGACCATAATGGACTCATCCATATCAATGCATGGTAGAGTTTACTAAAGTTACATAGGGGTAAAAGGAACCATCCCCGTGTAGTATTTTGGAATGGGGATAATATAACTGCTACCCGGTTTGGTATATGGCTTCATGATGTTAATGAGTTATAAGTTTTCCTAATAGGAAAAGTAACGACCATTTAATAATAAAGAAAGGGTAAGTACCCATATTACTCGGAAGAGTTACTCCCTTTTTAATTCAAAGGAGTTTGAGTGCTTTTCTAATGCACTATACTATCCCTTAGGTTTTTTAAATGAATTTCAGGTGGTGGCTTAGAAACTGATGGAGCTGGTGCTGGGATTAGCGAATCTGGTCCGGTCGACTCCCCAGACAAAGTTAGCCGAATTCTCCATCCTCTGCTTTCCATGCCAGAGATACAAAAAGAGAAAATCAACGATTTGCTTTTCCATGCTTCAACAGAAGATTTTGAAAAGTTGGACATTCTTGTAAGTGAGCCCAAAAGGGTTGTGCAGGATTTTGCTATTTTTGGTTGGAAATATCTATGGTGCAAGATGATCATATGGTGTATAAAAGCAGTTGGTATGACCCCCTGGGATGGAGGAGGAGGGCCCCGATTGGACATTTGACTAGTAGCTTACTGGGTGAGGGGCTAACAGTTCAAAATACATAACCTTGACCTACATTCAAGGCTAAGAGTTATTCAAATAAAATGAATTTGATCCAAAGTTAAAGACATCAAATGTTTTTGAAAACTTCAATTAATACATGTATTTTCGAGTACTACAATGCCTGCAATAATAATATTTGGCCTGTGCCTTGTATGGGTGAATGGCTGTTCAATTTAACGGTTGTTCACGTAAATGGTAAAATTCCATCACTAGCTACTTGAATGGTTGACATTGGCAGATTAGCTTGAAAATTAGTTTACCAACATCAATAAATAACAAAGGAGTTCTACATATCTCTTTGGTTCCTTGTTTTTAGGAAAATGCAAGTCGAAAATTTGAAGAACATTTATTAACATATGGGACACTACTGTTGAATTAAAAACAGGAAAAACATCATTTTCAATCTGTGAAGCAAGTTTTCTTTTCTTACAGTTTGACCAGGTAGAGGACGGATTTCGTGATCCTAATACTGAGGACAAACCATCTTTTCATGGAATCTCAGATTTGAAATTCAAGGACCAGGACATTTGTTGTAACTTTCTTACTCTGGCTGGATTTGAACTGAAGGTGAGACATTTGTTATTTCAACTCTCACAAATCTCTCCAAGTTATATAGTTAGTATAACTGTATTGCGTCAAAGACAAGATGGCAGGTCTCCGTGATACTGCACACCAGGAAATTTTTCGCTGCAGTTTAATTTTCGCCTTTTTCTTCCTGCACAATGAGTGCGAATTTATCTTTTCAACTGTGTGCGAGACCGTGTAATGGGGCCTCTGTACGAGACTGTGTAACGGTCCTCTGTACGAGACCGGGTAATGGGTCCTCTGTACGAGACCGGGTAATGGGTCCTCTGTACGAGTCTGTGTAATGGTCCTCTGTACGAGACCGTGGAATGGGTCCTCTGTACGAGACCTTGTAATGGATCTTCTGTACGAGACTGTGTAATGGATCCTCTGTACGAATGGTCCTCTGTACGAGACTGTGTAATGGTTCCACTGTACGAGACCGTGTAATGGGTCCTCTGTACGAGACCGTGTAATGGTCCTCTGTACGAGACCGTGTAATGGATCCTCTGTACGAGACTGTGTAATGGTCCTCTGTACGAGACCGTGTAATGGGTCCTCTGTACGAGACTGTGTAATTGTCCTCTGTACGAGACCGTGTAATGGGTCCTCTGTACGAGACCGTGTAATGGATCCTCTGTAAGAATGGTCCTCTGTACGAGACCGTGTAATGGATCCTCTGTACGAGACTGTGTAATGGATCCACTGTACGAGACCATGTAATGGGTCCTCTGTACGAGACCGTGTAATGTTCCTCTGTACGAGACCGTGTAATGGATCCTCTGTACGAGACCGTGAAATGGATCCACTGTACGAGACCGTGTAATGGGTCCACTATACGAGACCGTGTAATTGGTCCACTGTACGAGACCGTGTAATGGATCCACTGTACGGGACCGTGTAATGGGTCCTCTGTACGAGACCGTGTAATGGATCCACTGTGCGAGACCGTGTAATTGATCCACTGTACGAGACCGTGTAATGGATCGACTGTACGAGTCCTTGTAATTGGGCCTCTGTACGAGACCGTGTAATGAATCTACTGTACGAGACCGTGTAATGGATCCCCTGTGCGAGACCGTGTAATTGATCCACTGTACGAGACAGTGTAATGGATCCACTGTACGAGACTGTGTAATGGGTCCTCTGTACTAGACGTGTAATGGATCCACTGTACGAGACTGTGTAATGGATCCACTGTACGAGACTGTGTAATGGATCCACTGTACGATACCGTGTAATGGATCCTCTGTACGAGACCGTGAAATGGATCCACTGTACCAGACCTTGTAATGGATCCTCTGTACGAGACCGTGAAATGGATCCACTGTACCAGACCTTGTAATGGATCCTCTGTTCGAGACCGTGAAATGGATCCACTGTACGAGACCGTGTAATTGATCCACTGTAGGAGACCGTGTAATGGATCCACTGTATTAGACCGTGTAATGGATCCTCTGTACGAGACCGTGTAATGGGTCCTCTGTACTAGACCGTGTAATGGATCCGCTGTACGGGACCGTGTAATGGGTCCTCTGTACTAGACCGTGTAATGGATCCACTGTACGAGACCGTGTAATGGGTCCTCAGTACGAGACCGTGTAATGGATCCACCGTGCGAGACCGTGTAATGAGTCCGTAGATATAACAGACATTGATTATCATGTGAGCCGCTAATATTTGACCCAACAATATTATACAGTCATAAATTATCATAATAAATTATTGCCTCAAACGTACTTAATTCCTAAGGGAAAAGCACTGCTAAATCAGCTGTAAAAATATCACCTCAATCAACTGAAATAACATTGTTTATTCATCCGCAGGAAGATGAAAATAAGATGACATCACCTGCAGCATGTACTCCAGCTTTTGAAGCATGCTGCCACCTGATGGAGGCCATGACAGATCTACCGGAAGATGTGATGTCACTGGTCCGAGGCTGCAAGTCTAGTTTATGTTCAACTTTGCTTCACGTGGTATGTGTATGGGGAAAGACATAGTAAAAAGTCTGACTATATACACATCTGATATCTCTTAAACTGACCTCTGACCTAACCGACCCCTGGTTTAACCGACAGCTGGCTCATCTGACACCTGACTTAACCGATACCTGACTTTAACCGACAGGTGACTCAACTGACACCTGACTTAACCGTTACCGGACTTAACCGACAGCCGACTCAACTGACATTTGACTTTGCTGTCATTGGATGAAACTGTTTTACACCTGACTGATCTAACACCTGACTTAACTTACGCCTGGTGTAACTGACATCAAATTGATATCTGGATTTAGTGCTATTTGACTTTACTGACGCTTTACTCAATTCTAACTTAACTAGCATCTGTCTTAACTGACTTCCGGTCTACTGTAAAACCTGAATTCAAATTCTGCATTAAGTGACATCTGATTATCATTTGAAATATGACTTTACTTACGTAACTGACACCTGACTTTACTTACGTAACTGACACCTGACTTTACTTACGTAACTGACACCTGACTTTACTGAAATCTTATCTAAATTTGTCTAATTCTGTTCTATGTATTAAGTTTGGACAGTTCTTGTAAAATATCATTCAATGTTTTTAAAGTTTAAAAAATCCTTATATATATTTTGTTCCATATTTATGGATTGAATAAATCTTGTCAAATATTGCTCCTTATTTACAGATTGAAGAGTTCTTGAAGGGAATGCCAATGGTGGAGTTTACTCAACATGTCGAGGAGCTGGCCCGCGATCCCGTGGGAATGGGACTACTGAATACCTTAAACATTAAGGTGGACATGGAAAGGAAAAATCCTCTGATAGCTCGGGATTCGAGACTCGCTGAATGTGTAGATGAACTTTATTGGTGGTTGTGTGCAACACATATGCAGTGACATTTCACTTAGATATATCATTTATAGTGTCATTACATATATTGACATCATACTTAGTGACATCACACTCAGTGACATCACACTCAGTGACATCATACTTAGTGACATCACACTCAGTGACATCATACATAGTGACATCACACTCAGTGACATCATACTTAGTGACATCACACTCAGTGACATCATACATAGTGACATCACACTCAGTGACATCACACTCAGTGGCATTACACTCAGTGACATCACAATAAGCAACATCATACTTATTGACATCATACTAAGTGACATACTTACATCACACTTAATGACATCACACATAGAGATATAATTTATAGTGTCATTACACATATTGACATCATATTTAGTGACATCACACTCAGTGACATCACACTCAGTGACATCACACTCAGTGGCATTACACTCAGTGACATCACAATAAGTAACATCATACTTATTGACATCATACTAAGTGACATACTGACATCACATTTAATGACATTACACATAGAGATATAATTTATAGTGACATCACACATAGTGAAATCAAACATAGTAACATCACACTATAAGTGACATACTGAGATCACACTTAGTGGCATATTACTCAGTGACATAATGTACACTTAGTGATGTCACATTCAATGACATTATTCTTAGCGACATACTGACATCACATTTAGTGACATCATGCTAAGTGACATTATTTTATACTGACATCACACTTAGTGACATAACACTTGGTGACACCATGCCATATTTATATCAACCTGAATGGCATCATACTTAGTGACATTATACTTGCTAAGATTACACTTAATGACATTATATTGTATTGATATCAACCTTAATGACATCATTCAAAGAGACATTATTATATAATGACATCACACTCAATGACATCATACTAACTGACATCACACTCTGTGATTGACATCGATAATAATAAAGTGAAAACAAGACTACCAGCTGGTGGATGTTTCCAAGGGTAGATGTTTCCAAGACTTAATGTTTCCAAGGGTAGATGTTTCCATGACGTAATGTTTCCAAGGATAGATGTTTCCATGACTTGATGTTTCTATGGATAGATGTTTCCATGCATACATGCTTTCATTACAAAATGTTTCCATCGGTGCATGTTTGTATGGGTCATGTTTCTATGGGCAGATGTTGAGCATAAAAACTGCTCAAAATCAAAAGATAACATTTTTCTGAGTTTATTACGTTGAAACTCAGTTTCTCAGTGAACACATTGAAAACTGTTTGTAAAATACTACTCACTGATCAGTATGGAACAAAAAACATTGAGATTTTAATTGAAAATTATGAGTACCGGTAGCTGATCATTTAGGACAATGTTAAAGTCCGTATTGGACTGGCAATGTACATACACATGGAAATGTATCAAAAACCATGTGAAAATGGTGGTGCTGTACTTTGTTTATCACAAGTAAAGAAGTCATGTCACAAATATTATATTATATACTCAAACTGCTGTCCAGTGTAATAAATGAGTGTAATAATACTATGACATAAATTGCTAATATGTAAACATGTAAACAAAGTTTTACTTTATTATTTTTTCATTGTGACCCCTCTACCGAATAAAATATTCGTCGGCACTTTCTTTCGTGGCTTACGGCCACCTATATCTTTTTGTAGTTCAAACTTTTTTGATACCAAATATAAACAAACAGCAGTCAAGGATATTAATCAAATGTGTTGCATTTATTTTCATGGTTCCACGTGCAATCACGAAAACCACAAATATGTATACACAGCGAACATTTCATGTTCTATGGTATCATATATATACAAAACAGAGACACTTGCTATTAAACAGATTGTTTTGATACATTTTCAGATCATTGTTCGGGTGTAAGTTATATAAAGACATGAGTTACATGCTGTACAAGTCACAATTGAATCGACCAAAGCAGGAGTCCATCCTTATATTTCAATCAACGTGTTTTTTTCAATAATTGGAACTTGTGAAATCCATTCTGATCCTTTGTCTCAGGTTCACGAGCATGTGCAAGTCTACGTATTGACGTGATGTAAATTATTATAGTCCGTCATTGAAGGACCGCCATACAACATGATGATGTACGTTGATAGTTAAATACAGTCAAATTATGTAGAAACAAAATGCACAAACATATTTTAAATGTCATAACTATTTTTTTGTTGGTGAATTCTTTAAGATATCAAATTTTCTGATGCGTCATCGCGGAAGAAAAATGTCTAGACGCGGTGCACAGTCTATGCATAGTCTGGGTCCCTGCTGCGATTGCTCCGACGCAATCGCAGCAGGGACCCAGACTAGTCTATGCATGGCAGACATCTTTTTACTAGCTCGAAGTGGAGAGCCGCTAAATTTCGAGGATTGTGAAGCTGCAGTTACTAAATGTCAAATTAGACAGGAAACCAGACATGGTATGAAAGGACAAAACATTTGATATGACATTAGGCCGGACCACATGGATCTTACACAGGGGTTCGTTACAAATGTCTGAAATTAAGTTAAGTATGCTATACTGATATGGTCACAGCCCACATAAACATACATTCATACACACTGATATGAGTCACAGCACCTATAAACATCCATTTATATGTATATTTATGTGTGCTGTGACCCATATCAGTTATATCATGATATGTGTATTTCAGACATTTGTAACGAACCCCTGTGGATCTGCGTTGCTTGCACAAAGCAGAATGGGAAGCTGGAGTGAGAATTTCTAGGGCAGTACATGACTTGTCACTACCGCTAGCAACCGCGAGCTGATACTATTTTGCTGATTGATCGTTTTTGGTTGTTTGAACAATTTCTGTTTTGCTTCAATAAAAATTTGAAATCTCATCAAGTGGTATTTTTGTTTAAACACATGTCAATAGTTCTCTCCCTTCGCAAAATCATACGCACAGGCAATGTTAATCTAATCAAATTCATCGGCAAATGAAACAGGTTACATTTGGTAGTTGCATTGAGTCCAACTTGAGTAGGAATTGAAATCTTTAATGGTGACATTGATCGTCTGACATGGTAACCATGACAACAAGTTTAAATTGTAATGGAAGCTATTACCGAGTCCCCCAGTACATGTACATTACCCCTGTTATCGTGCATAATTATTAAAAAAAAACACAGTAGTGTTCATTGTGCCACAATACACCTAACGTTTAATGTAATTTGTACAACCCGTAATAATGTACATACCAAATTTGAACAATTCGAACAATATCTTAATTTCTGCAGTCCAGACATCCCCCAGACAACCCAGGTAAATGACGTCACATGTAAATGCCGTCACCAAAGAACAAAGGCAAATCCAACATGAAGCGCTAGTGCACTGCATTGAATTTGCATTTGTCCAGTTAGCATTCATATTGCCTATGAATGCCAAATGAAAGCAGTTCAATGCTAAAATGACACTGCATAACACGGTATTCGTATGATAAATTAATTTTCTAATTCTTTTCTCTTTTTGATATTTATATCTCTCCCTTCTTGAGCTTTAACTTTGACTGTTTATAAATTAGCGCAAACGCGGTGAAATACGGTTCGGCTAATTGATACATGTTTCAAAAATAGTCCGCACTACTTTGTATGTATGTCACGGTAAAGTGCGATGACATTTCATTTCAAAATATTTTATTAAATCAATTGATTCAATGGGAATTGGGCAACAGGCTATGCCTATACAAGCCCTCTCCCTTGGGTTACAGACATTTCAAACAATAACATAATTTAGACATTAACATATTAGCACTGGCTTGGAACATTAGATAGTACTTAATACTTCTACTCAATACTTCATAGTCTTTATCTATCTCTGAACTAAGCTAAACAAAAATAAAAAATAGAATTACTGAGATAAAACAAATACATTTTGGTTTTTTTGTTATTTTTTCTTCACCAGTATATATAGAATATATTTCAAAATGGAAAGCCATGCGTGTATACTGCATTTGTAAATAATCAAATTTTATAAATTTTACAACATATATTAATATCAAAAACTGGAACCTTCATTCAATACAGTAAATATTAAATATTAATAGTTGAATAATTTGTAACATCAACAAGTCCTCCATCACCACTCCTACTCCAGATAACAATAATAGCTGGGCAGCACTAAAATGTCCATACACACCACCACTGTGTGCTTACCCAGTCATTAACAATCCAGAGCAGGAGCCGTGTTGAAGGAGTATTCATGTAGACATGTATACATACACATTGGGACTATAATTAACAGTTATTTCAAAATCTGTTAGTAGACTCAATATATTTCTGAACACAGACACAAATAGCAAAATTAGGATAATGACTAAGGCGGTTACTTCCCCTAGTTAGTATATTGATATCATTTACTAAATGTCCAATCAGGTTTAAGTCAAGATTTAAATGTAGGTTTAGTTGAATGTTAAGCTGCAAATGAGACAGAGAGTCTAATAGGTTTTGTCTTTGGATTATATACCTAGGGCAGTATAGAAAGAAGTGATCCACATCTTAGTCATGGTTGCCACATATACAGGATGGGCTATTAGTAAGGTGGTGCGATGACACTGTCACATTTCAGTGGTTATTAGCAATTATATTTTGGCTGATTTGAAATATTTAAATGATAAAATTTAATTAACTCTCACAATACCTATTTTGGGCGTAATGTTTCCTTTTTCTCTTAAAACTGTTATTTTCATATAACTTTGGTACCAAGCCGATTCTAAAATTATTTAAATAGTTTAAATAATTACCAAAATATCCTATTTTTATCAATAATTTCAAAATCTGCTACAAATCAGTCATGTACATAACTACATATTGGTGCAAAATATTTTGATATTAATCAACCTTTACAAAACGTATATTTGTCTTTTTTTATCAAACTTAACGGCGCATCCATGTATCGATTCAATTCAAAATCGGTTAGGAAAAACCGATTTTTGAATTAACTTTTCTAAAATCTATTTTTGTAATTATTCCGTGTGCGGTTGGAGTCGATCCAAAATGTTTAATAAATTCCAGACACAACTTTTAATTAAAGGGACATCACGTGAAAAGGCGGTTTTTTTAATGAATGTATGTATTGTATGCACTTCCACTTATGTTACCTCGCTATCCCCATATTCATAGTCCGTTCCAAATGTCCAGTTTGACCACTTGAATTGTTCGGGAAAGCCCTGCTAAAAATAGCGCCGATAACGTCACTGACTAAGTATAGTACACAAGTGATGCGAGCGAGATGCAACGGTTTTCAAAGGGGCCCCAAGAGAGGGGCCGTTAGGCAACTGCAACTTCTTACCGCACTATGAAACCAAGTTATATGATTTCTGAGTCCGTATTCAAACTTATTGAACAGTTATCATTCATCATTAGAAGTAAATTGCACACTCGCCAATGTTCATAATTTAAATTTATATAGCTTTAAACATAAATTTGTTGCCAATAAAGTTAAACAAGGGATGGGGCACAAGTTTTTACAATTTATCACAACCTTCTCCCGTCATCCATTTACAATTAAATGTCAACAATGATAATAGGCATAAACATAAAGTAGATATATTGAAATATATATTGAATTTAGTACCGGAGTGTGGCCGGTACAGATGGTACGGGGCCAAACACACAAACGGACAAACCTTTCTGATTTTTTTTATATATTGCCGGGGCAGAGGAGGCCGGGTATTCATATTAGTACTAATTTAAATCTTGCATGTAAAAACAAAAATAATCGTTTAATTCAGCAATATAATTAAATCATACCATTTTATTGAACCCGGTAATATTATAAATTTTGAAAACCCACGGACTTAGATAACACGTATCTCGGTGACCCATAAAATACGCCGTGGGCCATCACAACAGTTATCCCTTGGAGGGCCTCATGGCAAAATCAAACTAACCAGTCACTTATCCCTTCCTTTCGCATACCATTAACATATTAAACTAAGTTCATCTGCATTCAAACTCAGACAAAGATACTAGCGAGCTTAATAATTTTAGATATGTATTCATAACATAAACAGCGCTAGCATTTCTGTCGATTCCATTTCAGCTTAACCGGCTAACCGCTACGGCAGTTATTTTCTCCTTTGAATACTGCCCACCTGCAATAATGATTCCTTAACGTACTCCTTGCGCTATCTTTTGACCATTTGGCAACTTTTCGTTTCGTAGCTGACACGGTACAACACTTTTCTTTCGCTTACTTCACACGGCCAGTCATTTTGTTATTTTCCATAAGGAGTCTCACTTGATATGTTTATGTTATATTTGAAAAAAGGACAAAAAATAAAGTTACTTCACCGTGATGCCCCTTTAACAGTTACAAAACAGGTTTTATTTAATTTTTTGTTACAAATTTGATTTAAAACGTGCATCTCTGAACATTCCTTTACTTAAGTATGCGTATGTATAGGTACACGCTGTAATTTGTATAGGCACGGGCTTAGTTCCGTTGTATAGATGTAGGTACAGGTTGTACGTATATTGTATGCCGACACGTGAGCGCCCGACCAACTGTTGTTTCACGGTAGAAAACACGTCATTTCTACACAATACACAGCAGATGGGGGATGTTTGTCACAAAACATCGCGATATACCGCAGCCAAAATCGACGATACTTCAAGTGAAACTGTCGATAATGCACGTGATTGTGCAGTTGGCTATGACACGAGAGACTCCGGTTTTATAGGTCCAGGTAAGTTTTACCCTACCTGGCACCTGGTGACTATATATAACTATGAACCTATGGGTCAAAGAAGTAATATAGACGGGAACCTATATATATGTTGGCGCACGCGCAGAGTCCGACCGTCTGCCGTCCGTCGTTATTTCTTTCAAATGCCGCCTACGGTCATGCTATTGGCATGGAACTTTCTTGGGCACAGAGCTTTTATTTATTTTCTGTTTTCAAATAAGTGACATTGGTAGGTCACAGGTTAAATATCTTTATATGTCGAATATTTAAAATGGCATCTCAAGATCATCAAGACGTGGAGTCCTGATTGTTTGCGTGGCCTGCATTGAATGTCACGTGTCTAATGTGTTTAGATGTTTTTGTTAAAGAAATTTTATCATTTTTTTCAAATCCTCTTTAGAACCACGAAGCCTGGAATCATAATAGCTGACCTGTAGTTTGCTGGGTTGATCGGAATATATATGGACTTACCCGATATTCACGATCACAAGTGTTAATTGTGATAAAAACTTTGAACGATTTCCGCTAGAGTACTACAATGCGCAGAAAAGTTTGTTGTTAAACTGCGTCTTGCCGATGATAGGGCATCCTCGATATCAAGGGGTTACGCTCACTATCGCTCTCTGCACAGAGCGAAAGTGGGCGTAACCCCTGTAAAATCAAAATATAGCTAATTAGAAACTTTGGATGTGCTGTTATCAAAAGCTCAACGTTAAAATAAATTTTGCAAATAAGTCTATCACATTATCTGTAAGCAATACGTTACATGCCCCATATACCTCCGCGTACACAATTCTCGTCTCGTTCCTGACGCGTCGCCAAGGTATGTTGTGCGCGTGTACGATGCAGTGATCTGCTACATATGTGTGGGAGATGGGAATATAACTCAGCGTGTTGAACATGTACGTTCCCATGATTTTCTTGAAGAAGGTTGATTGGTGATGATGGGGGTTGGGTGGGTGCTAAAATTGTTTGTGTTTGAGGGCGGCATTCTCCCGACCCTTACCCTTAATACTCCATGGCTCCTATTTCCCATCCTCATTTTCTGATTACATTGCCCCTCACTAAACACATTCCCCGACTTTACCAAAAGAGGTTCTACATATATCTCATTACCTATAAAATGTCATTAATTTATTTTTTGGAAACTGTGTCCGTATACAAATCGACTTTTTTTCCCCTTCAAAAAATCCAGTTGCAAGTTTTATTATATCCAAATGCAATACAGCATATAGGTAACAAACATACATAATTAAATATTCAAAATTCATATGTGATGTAAAAGATGGCGGAGGACAATTCCATTCAAATATATATATGCCTACAGACATGTAATAATGATATCACGTGCGGTTTTACAGCATGATTTTTCGGAAAGTTGTGAAAAGGACAGTGTATAACAATTTATCACATACTTACTACTAAATACGCAATTCCCGCCCTATATGATACGACTAAAATCACGTGACCCATATCAGACCGGCCGGTCGGAAAAATGCATATCACGTATCTCAGGATTTTCGGAACACCTCGTGACTATTGGGTCCGGAACACATCTGGAGTTAGTGTGTCGTTTCTATGCATGCGCAGCAGACGAGATTCTATGAAAAAATGTCGCGTTCGGCTCAAGGTGAGATGATTTTGAACTCGTTGGCAAAATATATGGTGGCTGATATATGACATTTCGTCTGTTCGCTTTGTCGCCCGCGAAATAACGCCAAGCGAAATAACGAAATANAAGCCGATTCAACTCGCCATTTTGTGATTTCCCAACCGACACACTAAAATTGGCATTTATTCCACTTCTTTTTCTAATATACATTTTCTATCGATGATCTTTGGTGAAAAATTGCTTGAAATTGAAGTTCGTAATTGATAATTGAAAAACAAATGATCGCCCAAAATTTATGTTCAAGTATATGATAAACAGAATAAAACATGCTAAAATCCATATCACATGCCATATAAGCCCTCGATATTGGGTCCTCGGGCTGATATGGCATGTGATATGGATTTTACCATGTAATATTCTCTATATAATCATATGTGTGAGGTTACTACATGTATATATGTGACGTCATGAAATGATGACATCATAATGAAAACACTACATAAACAGATTCAAACAGACAGAAAGAACCATGGGATGTCATTAAAGTACTATTTAACGCGCTATTAACGAACATTAAATAACTATTATTATACATGTACATTTATAACAAAGTAGTTTCAAATAATATTTTAGTATAATATCACTACTGAGCGAGAAGATTTTTCCTTTTAGCAGTAGCATGCCACAAATATTTACCCAGTCAATTTAAAGATTTAACGCTTTTACAGGTAAATAATTCTATTAGTTTATAGACACTTGGATGTCGATAATAATTCTGTTTGATGTATGTTTTTCTTAAATCAGAATATGCAGGACAAAGTAGTACAAAATGTACTTCATCTTCGACATCATTTTTATCGCAGACTGTACATATTCTCTGACCTCTTGGAATGTTATTATAGCGCCCAGATTTTATGTTAAGACTGTGTGCTTGCATTCGAAATTGACTCAATAACTTTTGTATCCTTAAATTAATGGGCTTAGTCAGATAGAACTGGACGCAAAATGTATCAACAAGATGCTTGTACAAATAACATTTTGAAGATGCATCAAAATCACTGCGTAATTCTTGGATAAATACATCATGAACACGTTGAGCATACATTTGCAAAAAAAAAGTTTTTCATTTTGTACATATTGGCAAGTCAAAATATAATTAAAACTCAAACTACATAGTTCATGCTTAATTTGATAAACCCAATTAATTTTACAATTAGTTTTTCTGATATTCAACTCGGCTAATGCGTCGTAACATGATTTTAAAACACAGTTACTAGTATTTAATTTTTTAAACCAATATCTCATTATGGCCATTTTACGTTGCACATATAATGAATATCTCCCAGTTTCAAAGTAAACCATAGAAGTATTGACAGTTTTCTTAACATTTAATAGGTCTTTGAGAAAATGGAGATGGGTTTTTTCAATTTGTGGCGATATATAATGTTCCATAACTTCACACCCATAATAAATATACATGCATCATATGTATCGAATAAAGACATTTTTGTTTCCGTATTAAGGGCAAAATCTTTCATTTTTCTTTTTAAGTGGTAAAATGCTTTCCGTCCTTGACAAGCTAATGTATCTTGTGTTACAGTAAATCTTCAATTAGGATAAAACACCACGACAACAATAAAAGAGGGTAAGAGAACAGGTTAAGACATTTTGTTCGTAGATACACGTTGTTTCCGCATTTTTAACGTTTATTTCGTTCTCACTTTACTTTGTGTTTTGACGCTATATTTGTTTTCCGTGATCACGGTTTTGTTATTTCACTCATGATGCGAGTTGAATTCTGGTTTTCTTTCACGTTTACGGTTCTATTTGCCGTCGTTACTTCGTTCTAGTTTGATTTATCATTGGAGGTGTTGTCTGATGCTATTTCGTTACATGTGTTGTTTCATTCCGTTATTTTTTCGTTTCGAAGATGTTGCTTTGCTGTGATGTTGCTGTTCGTTCTGAACGTACATTGTATTAATTTGATGTGGATTTTCTTTCTCCTTCTGGATGTTTTTTTCTATGTATGTTTTTTCCTTTTCGTGATGTTTCGTTTTGGAGAATTTTATTTCGTTCTGGAAGGGGCTGCAGTGGCCAAGTGGTTAAGGCTTCTGACATTCTACTATCACTAGCCCTCCACCACTGGGTCGCGGGTTCGAGGCGTATGTGGGGCAGTCGCCTGCAGCCTCACATACCGCCCGAATCAATAAACACTCCTACAGATTTATGTTTAACTAGACGTTTGTATATATACTCCAATAAACGCTGGTACTGTCCGTAGGTCGGTGTTTTTTCTCCGGGAACTCCGGCTTTCCTCCACCAACAAAACCTGGTACGTTCATTAATGACCATAGCTGCTAATAGGACGTAAAACACACACAAATCGTTCTGAAAGTGTGATTGATTGATTTATTGGTTGGTTGACTGGCTGATCGACTGACTGATGACGTATTTATTCAATTCAGTTCAATTTTATTTGGTAAATAGTACTTAACAGGCTATACCAACATATCTATCACAATATATGAACATCGTATCAGGTATTCCGTCTTTGCGTATTGCAGAGTTATCTTCTCTTGGGAGCAGGTATTGATTGTTACGTCATTGGTTTGTGTGAGAAAATTACGTCGTTTTCTCAAAAATTGATGACGTTTCTCTCACAAACAAGTGAGGTTTATTTCCACTGGGGTCCTCTACTTTAGTGACGCAATAACAAGTTGCTAAAGTAAAGCACTTAAATAATAGGTAAATTATACAAATATGTTAACAAATATTACCTCCGAGGTCAGGTGATTGGGCAACCTCTACCTACCAAGCCATCTGGCTATATTGTTTTTCAATATATATATACATTTGTATGATAAAAAGTGATTAAATTACATTTGTATATATATATCATTAAATAATAAAATGGCTCAGGATTTTACACATGTAAAATTCACCAGATGTCATGTCTTGGACTAGGTTTAGTTATTGAATAATAAAGTTACCGAAGAATTAACCGCAAAATTAGCTCAAGAGGGCAGGTGATCGGGCACCCCTTCACCTACCAAGCCCTTTTTGGGGGCTTCAGGACCCCCCCCCCCCCCCCCCCCCC